ATTTACAGGATGCAGTCGCTGTGTTACCACTTACTTGTGACAAAACGCGGCTCCCCTTTCATCGATGATGACTGCCCTTTGATGCTACTTCCTAGGCAGTGGTATTCGCATCGTTTGTCTCTGAAATTTCATCACTCGCGTTGGAAGGTAGGGTGAATGCTCGACCACCTGGCTCACTGGCATTAGCGTTGGGGAAAAACGGTCTTGTAGGGCCCTCTAAATATCTATGCCCCCGCCCAACTGCCCAACGTATTTTGTGGTCAAACATTTAATTCTTGGTTAGTGAGTGTAAATGAATTGAATATGTAATTGTGGTGGAAGTGATCAAAAATATTAAATTAAAGAAACTTATATTTGGTTCAATGTACTAATTAGAATAAAATATATCAACATAAACTCCTGTCACTATACAATACCTCCTTTCAAAGCCCAAACGCAACTGAGGCGGGCAGGCGGGCAGGCAGGCGTCCACCCCCCAAAACACATGCACATTAAGTAGCAGGTAAAGGGACTCACCTTCTGTTCAATGTTCAGACCAAACTGTCCGGTCAACTGGCTGAGGAGAGCACCCTTGCAACTGGAATACATCATTCGCTCCTTGATTGAAGACTGGTAGCCGGCAATGGCGTGAATAAAGACTGGAAGAAAATCAAAGCAGCACGGATGCAAAATCATTCAGAGTGGATAGCACTAGATGCACACGATCTTGCGGAGCTGCGCATAGAACGGATAATACTGAGATGAAAGGACGCAAGGAAGTTATGATGCACAGGACAAGTCGAGTACCGTTTCAAACTGTGTCCACCGTGTACCCCCCAGCACGGTTGGTGGGCGCAGGGATGACGAATTACGCAGGAATTACTTGCAAGATATATTTTGATTATGCTGAATCGACCGCACTCCTCTCTTCCCCTCACCCACCTGTGGCAAGACAGGGTCAGGAAGACCGGAGGTGGGATCGGGCGCCAGTAACTGGCACGACGTGAGCCTGCACCTAGGCGTGCGACCACGCCCCTCCCCTCCGTGTTCGGCATTTATTACGGTAATGCAACCCTAATAACGCCTGTCGTGCTCTAACCTGCTCCCCGTGTTGGTCCAGCACATCTACCAGACGGTCCATTTAGGCGGCACATCTTATTAACGACAAAATGATATGCCTACAGATCAGGCTGTTTAAAGCGATTTTTCAACGGTAGTGGGTTTTTTTCACTCGGCTAATCTTTACGGTCCTCGAATGGGCCAATTTATTACACATTCAGTGCTGGCTGTCCTGTAGATTCAAAGGAAGCGCTTAAGGGTACACTAGCTAACGAACGTTTGGCTTTTTAGATCAACCAAAAGGAACATGCAAAGGTCTACTCCTAGACAACTGTTTCTCGGATCCAGTCTTCTCTTTGGGGGGCTGCGAAAAGTCCTATCAAATAATTCAGAACAGCAGTTGGCGAGCATACGATTGCTTCCGATAAATTCTCATCGGGCCAGTACATTCAGTCCCCAGTGGAATGGAGAATTATGGAAATTTTCACAACCCTAAACCAGTCTAAATATCCCACGGTGTTAAAGGCGCTCAGTGCGTACCTGCGTATCAACACCAAATTTGTCCATACAACAATACTGGCTGATTTTATTGGTGACTGGAGTTACTGGCCCGATCAGCATTTGCCGAAAGAATGTATACAGTATGGCCCAGAAAAAGTGCAACTTTCATAACGAAATTTGACTTAGTAGTTTAGCATATAGTTGGTCACGTTTTTGATCCATTGACTAGATTCAAGCTTGCAAAAGCCTTTTAGTTCGGAAAAATCGCCCTTTTAGTTAGGTTTCTTAAGAGGAATGGGTATTAATTTTGGCGTTATTGGGAGTAGTCTCATATCGAAAGAATCTCCTATGCTATTACGTATGACAGAACCAAACTTTTTATCAATGTGCATTGTGCTATGGAAGAACTCCGAAGTAAGTAAGGGACGTTTAGAACATATCCCTTCCAGAACCGGAAAATTTTGTACGTTAAAATTTCCGTTTATGCGTAAATATGAAACGGAACAGACAGAGGAATAATTATTATTTCAAAAAACGGCGATATGTGGTCACTCTTTTTTGCATTCGCAAGCTTATAATACATCCTGGAAGTAATCCAATATGGCAGAAAATAATCCAATATAAAGAGAAAAGTAAGTTATTTCATTTCCAGTCGAACTGAATAGTTTATTTTCAGATAAATGTAAAAAATTTTCAAGTCTCCATTTTCATTTTGGTATTACCTTTGAAAAAGGTACTATGCACGAAATTTCGTCAGCTGAATATCTAAGTAAAGTACTTTTTTAAAGAGGTAACGCATTATAGAAAGTTTTTTTATTAATCGCAGGAAAGATAATATCAGACTTTTGTTCCGGACGTTCTTTTTGCTCGGTAATGTGTTTTGGTGTTTGGAGGAATTTCTAAATATGGCCTGCATAGCCATCTTCATACGAACTAATACCTAAAAACGCGTTTCTCCGGTAAATTCTTTGCATCGATATCTTATTTTAAAGGTTTTGATATAAACGTCAAAAGAAATCTTGATCCATGCATGAAGCTTGGGACACTGAAAACGCTTGAAAATTTATCGGCAGTTAAAGGTGCATTTCTAAGTACTTATAATTAAATGGTAAAAATATGTTTAAATTTTTTTGACTTAAGAAAAGTTTTTTTTATCTAAAGAAAGTGGTGTCGTTAACCTTTAAAGTGATGATAAGATTTTAATTTATTGTTCTATAGCGATTTTTACGTCTACGGAACTTAGGGATTATTAAGAAAATTTCCTTTTTCTTAACAAATAATTAGTACTTCTTATATTTCTTTTAAGTAACAAATTTGCCAAAGGTCGTTCATTATTACTTCTTAGTTTTCTTGTACTTGTACTTGTTACGGCTGTGATCATGCCTGA